TTTTCCAGTCCCTACTTTTGGCTATTTGGACAAGTTTTTGAACCTGGTGGTTTAGTTCGTGGGCTATGTTTAGATAGATGTTTGTAGTCGCATTTTGCTTTATTGAAGGCTGATTTACGTTTTCACCTAGTCTGTTCTATTTCCTCATTCCACCATGGCACGGTCGGTTTGCCTGTCTTAGATGTTTGAAGGGGATGGAAGTTTTGGCTGCGTTTATTATATAGTCTGTTAGGTTTTTACAATAGGTTTCTGGATCATTATTTTCTATTTCGTTTAAGTTAGCTTCGTTGCAGATATCTTGGAATTGGTCCCAGTTAGCTTTATTGTAATGGAATTTTGGTTCTTGGTTTTCCGTTTGGATTGGTACGTTTGTATTTCCTATAGTTATGTTTATGGGGAAGTGGTCACTACCTAGCGGGACGTCGTGCACTTCCCATTGAGTACTTTGAGCTTGATCTGGGGTGCATATGGTTAGGTCGATAGCCGACATTTTTTGGTTTATCTTATCGTACCTCGTGGGTTGGTTGCTATTTTGGAGTACTAGATCGTTTATTTCTATCCATTCGGAGATTAGTTTGCCATGATTATCTATTTTATCACCTATGCTCCATGTAGGATGGTGAGCGTTAAAGTCTCCTGGGAATATAGTAGATTTATCGCTTATTTGGAGTAGTTTGTTTAGATCCTCAGGTTGGACTTTTTGTTCCGCCCAGTGATAAATATTTATTATGTTTATGTTTCGGTTATTTAATGTGATTTTAATGCCGTTGGCTTCTAGGTTTGGCGTGTCTATTTTTATTTCTTCATGATTTATATCTTCCCTGATTAATATGATTAGTCCTCCTGCGGCTCTTCTTGTTTTGGGTTTTGCTCTGTCAGTTCTAACTGAGTTGTAGTTAGGTAGTGTAAATTTTGATTTTTTGGAGAATTTGGTTTCCTGGATACAAGCAATGTGAGGGCCTTTATTTAGTTTAAATTTAGTTTTTAGTTCATGGCCGTGGGAGGTGAGTCCGTTGGCATTCCACTGAAAAATATTTAGTCCTTCCATTATTGGGTTCGGGTGATTGGTGATTTAGTTTTTAGTTTCAATTTTATTCGGTGACTTCTTTTTGACGGAGGTTAAAGAGGAAGAAGGGTAGATTTGTTAAGTTTAGATTGAAAGCTACTTTGTGGAATGATTTCATGCTAACTTTTGGTGAGTTTTGACTATGCATGTATGCTAGGAGTAAGGTAAGGTTATTTAGGTTTTGGTTGTTGTCTGGTTGGGAAGTCTTGTTTGTTTTAGTTGGAGTAGTTTCTATTGTTTCCTCAGTAGTGGAGAAATCTTCGTCATCGGTTAGATTAGGGTTAGCTGTTTGAGTTTCCATGGGGGAGGCATGTGATTTCTAAGTGTTTGTGTTTTGTTGTGCTTGCTTGTGGGGAAGTGTTGTTGCCATGTGGGCTGTAGGGTGCTTGGATGAGGGTCGTGTTGTGGCGGTCGTTTTGTGGTTTGTTTGGCATGCGGGGGGGTTGATGTTTTGGCTATGTGAGATGTGGGAGGGTTCGTGGTTGGTTGAGTGGCTGCTTGTGTGTGTGAGGTGGGTGCGGTTTCTCGGTAGGGGCCCCAAACAGAGCTGTCGGTTATGGGTGTGGTGTTTGTTTGTGAGATGGTGTTTGGGTGTGGTCTAGGGATGAGTGGTTTGGTTGTGGGCGTAGCAAATTTTCGTGTTTGGATTTTAGCCATGTCTATGTTTATGTGTTTGTTGGCCTGCTGGGTGAGTGTGCGTCTGTGTGGGCATTGGTTTGAAAGAGAAGTGTGTTGGATGGATTTGCAGTGGATGCACCAGGGTGTGCATGTGCCTGGGCAGTCTGTTTGTGCGCATTTTTTACATTTAGTTTTAGGGTATGTGCATTGGGAGGCAGTGTGGTTGTATTTGAGGCACTTTGAACATTGCTTAACCTGCTTTATATAGTGTTTGACTTCTAAGTTGGTGTGGGCTCCGAAGGATATGTGTTTGGGGGCTTCAGGGAATTTTGCAGATTTTTTAAAGTTTATTATGACAATGGAGGTTGGGGACCGTTTTTCTGTTTCTGGTTGAGGTTATTCTACGCGTGCTGGTGATGAGGGGTTGAGGGTTATGGTCCTGGTTTATGTTAGCTTCTAGAGAGTATAATTGTAAGTCCTCAGTTGTTTCCCTTGGGTTAACCCTAATTACGCCTCGTGTATATTGTTGCCAATTAGGTGTTTGTTTGATTACCGTGACGTGGAATATTTGAGTTATTTTATTTGCTGCGTTGTAAGATTCTCGGTTAGGGAAGATTATCTGGTATCCTTTGTTGGCTTTTTTAATATTGTTGTAATTTATTTTTTCTCTTTTAAACCAAAGTCCTATTTTATCTACCGAAAGTTCTAGTGAGAGAGTGGTGCCTGAGCCTGCTGAGAAGAAGTAGAGGGCGAAGGTGGTGAGGAAGGCGGCCGGGGAGGGTGTGGGCGATGGAGGTGGAGGTGGAGTGGATGTGTCGAGTTTGCGTTTTTTGGTGTTTTGAGGTGGCGAGTTAGCTGATTTGGTGGGGGTGGTGTGTTTCGTGTTTTCGCCATACTGACTATGCCGTCACTACTGAATTAAGTAGTTCACAGACAATTGCAAGTGCTAATACCCACCGACACTAATTGCCCTGTTAATCCCTAGTCCACAATGAGTTGACATTGAGTTCATTTTGCTAATTAGCTGTTTTTAGAGTAGCAAAAACAAAAATATCAAAAAACGACCTAAATTAATAAACCAAATACTTAAAAGCTCCAACGACCTAACAAAAGCAGGCAAACAAATAACCTTCTTGTGGATCCCCGCCCACGTAGGAATTTACGGCAACGAAAGCGCCGATAAAGCAGCTAAATTATCTCTCAAAATACCAGAAATAAGCCTAAACCTACCCATATCAAAATCAGAAATTAAAAGTGTAAACAAACAAAAAATAACCAAAAAATGGCATAATCAATATCAAAACTCAAATAGCCAAATCAAAAAAGTGCTCAGAAAACCACTAGCCAAACCTAAAATCCTACACCCCTCTAAAAAAATTGACAGATTAATTACAGAACTCCAAACAGGACACACGAACCTAAATAACCACCTAAAACAACTTAAAAGACACACCACAGGCAACTGCCCCCACTGCAAACAACCCGAAACCACAGAACACGCACTCATCCACTGCACCCGCTACCAAACACACAGAACCACACTACAAACCAACCTCAATCTAAATAAGGTTCCTACTCTAGATGAAATACTAAACCCAAAATAAACTAGAAAACTTCAAGGCCCTAGGCGTATTCCTAATCAAAACAGGCCTAATTAAGCGCATCTAAAAACTAATTAATCTACCAATCCAAAATCCAATAAACATACAAACACCCACCTCACCCGACTCCCTTAGTTCCCTCCTCAATCCACCTCGGCATTTATTCCAAATTTTAAAATTTCAAAAAATCGATATAAGCAACCCCTAAAAGCCCCCTCTTGGGTTGCACACACCACTTTCACCCTTCTCGGAATACACTAAATGGTCCGGCCAGGCCCGTGTGCCAAATACGCTACAGTCGGAAAGCGCACGTTAAATCTTCTATATCAGTCAGTCAGTCAGTAGCATGGTAATAAACATCAAAGGAGGGGCAGGCTTTGATCATGTGTTCTGTAGAGGAGATGATGTCACTTGTTTTATGTTTATTTAGGATTAGCTACATCCCTTGATGCTACCAAGGCAGCCCTTGAGATTATCAGACAGCTTGGCTTGATACAAACTGATGTCTCCCTTGTAGCACACTATGTGTCAGACAAGGACTTTGACCACTCTGTGCAGATGCATATCAATGCATAAAAAAAACATTTGGTAGATGATTCAATAATGTCACGCAAGTCAAAGTTAGGTTTCACTGTATTTAGAAACAGACGATGGATCCAAAACTTTATAACAGTAATTATGATGAATTTAAACTTTGCCAGACCAATATTTTGGCAGATTTGCATGTTATTGTTAATCTTCATTAAGTTAATTTTCAACAAAGATAGGATAAATGATAAAATATGATAATGAGTCATGAATATTTGAATTCAGATCAGAACAAACAGGGAGGGTCACTCAAAAATGTGAGAGTCTCTAGGGGAGGCTTTTGACAAAATGTACAATAAAATATGCTTTGCATTTCCATTTTATTTCAGGGTGGAGTAGTGTCAAAAATGAATGAGAACATACCGGTTATACATGACCGGCCCCTTTAATGTAATATACATAGTTTTTAGTTGATGGTTCAGGTTGTACTTTTCAGTTGAATTTCTTATCACTGTCTATGATGGACTACCAATTAACGGTAGATATTAAATATCCATAATAACTTAGATAATACTTCTACAGTCTCATCCTAATTTGTCAAAATTTGTATTTCAATATAGCTTCCAATTATGAATCAATGAATTTGGAGAGAATATCTGTTGTCTGAATTCCAAATGTACTTTCTTTTGTATTTGGTGTGCTAGGGTAGCCTAGAGGGTAAAACAGTCCCCGAAACCCGGGTTCAATTCACCACATGTGTACGATGTGTGAAGCCCATAGCTGGAATATTGCTAACAAGCTGCATGAAACTATACCAACTCACTCGCTCATTATGTTATATTTTGAGATCACTTACATGACCTGTGTTTTGATTATTATGAATAGTTCTGTTTTTATGTATAAGAACCTATGTAACTTAGTTTTGCATTGTCTTGGCAAGCAAAATTCAGGTGAACCTTGTGGCGCTAAAGGTATTGTTTTAGAAGACCGGATACACTTTTCTATTTCTGAACACTTTTCTGTTTGCAATGGCTTATTAACATGTTCAAAGATTGGTTAAATATCAGTTGCAAGATAAATTGTCAATACCTCACTGTTCGAGAAAACAATTTTAAACATTTGTAAATATGTGTGTGTTTCATAATTTTTGAATAACAAGTTTCAAAAGATGTTATGAATTGTTTCAGGTACCTGGATTTCACAATCTGACACCAGCTACATTTAAGAAGATCTTGCTCACACAATTCAGACAAGGGACTCGCCGGATGATGAACAATCCTCCCGATAACAACCAACAGATTCACCTCAGAAAGTGATGATTCTGAATGAATAATGCCACATCAGTGTGACTGTAGGTGGTTTTATTATGACACTAATCAAGTCTGAATGAATTTATGCCAAAGCACTGTGTCTATGTCCAGGTTGTGTACACCGACACTTACTATACAAATCTGAATGACTTTTGTGGTTTACTGCAGAAACATAATTGAATTTAGATATTCTTCTTCCATGAAATTCATCTGAGATTTGACAAATTTGATTATTTAGAAAATGGCATTGAAGCGTCTGTTCTGTAAGGCCTTGCAAGCACCACTGGTTACTTTATGCTAGTTCCTCTTCTTGCTTGATCAAATTTCAATTTGTGATATGTACCAATAAAATGTCATATAATCAATAAATATGATTTTTTTCCAAAAACATTATTTGTTTTGCTTCATTAGCATAAAGAAATATAATACTGATCAGCCATAACATAGGTGCTGAACAAATATAAAATGTACTAATGCCCTGAATGTTTTCCTGCTATAAATACAGCTCACTTAACAAAAGTTGTAGTTCCACGTTAGTGGACAAATGACATTGATATTTTTTCTGTACTTAATTTAGGTGTTTTGTATGGATGCCATTAGTCTTATGCACCAATTTGGGACAATTGTATTCTGTTTAATATTCCAATGAAACTCCACTGTCCAGATATAACAAGTACTGATACCGCTCCAAACAAATCATTTTAATCTCACCAGGGCCAAATGCCAAAGCACATAGCCAATGACTTTCCATTTTTTCTGAGTGAGAATACTGTTTTGCCACTTTTAGCAATATTGCAACAATATCATGGTGGGGGACACTAGCAATAAGCTTCACACATTTGTACCCATGTCGCGAAACAACTTGTGAACAATGCAAGCCCACAGATCTCAGTTTGAGGAGGATATTTACAACTAAAATAACACAGAATATTACAACAGCTATCTGATATGCACAGCCTAATATTAATAACTAGAAACAATACATGAAGAAAATTTGCATCCTGATACCTCCCGGAAACCTTCCAGATGCCTTAAGCAACCTCCAAATTTCTTGGTATTTTCAAGATAGTTTTTTTATCTGTTTCACACTTAAATGAACAAAATGAACCCCCCAAATCTTGACATTTTTTTTGGAAGGTATCCGGGCCAGATCCATAATGGGAAGGTATCCGGAAGGTTTCCGGAAGACGGAAACCTACATTTTTTTTGCTGTGACTGAGATACCATGTCACAATTTAACATGAATACCCCACTCAGACACAATAGACAGACTCCGAGCCAACCAGTCCTTGTTTTAGCCCCTTAATGCCGAGCGCCAGACAGGGTAACAACAAGTAGCATATTTTAACGTCTTTTGGTATGATGCAGCCGGGGATCGAACCCGAATATTCCGCTCTCAAGGCGGACGCTCTATGTAACAAATGGTAGACGTTGACCTTACAATGTTTGAGCAACGTTGACGAACGGTTGGACGCTTTGGCAAGTGGTTTGTGTTGGCCAAACAATGTTGGACCAACAGAGGTATAACGCTGTAAACACAACCATCGAGACTGGTTGGTGCTGTAACGTTGGGCCAACGTTGGCTGAACGTTGCAAGATCCCTTTTTTTAAATAATAGTTTATTATCTGGGAGAATATATAACTGCAACTTCATATGTGAAGAAGTTGTGCTTTATCAAATGCCATTTCGTTTGATTTTATGACACATCATAATGCGTAGCATGGTTGCAACATACTATCCAAGAACACAAACATAACATCAATATTGGAAATTGCCGTGACGTTGGCTATTGACGTTACTTTAACGTTGGCAGAAGCATTAATATAGAACATTGCACCAACGTTGGCACCGCATTACTGTAGAATATTGCACCAACATTGGCACAGCATATAATAAAGAACATTGCACCAACGTTGGCACAGCATTTAATATAGAACATTGCACCAACGTTGGCACAGCATTTAATATAGAACATTGCACCAACATTGGCACAGCATTCATGGAGATCATTGCACCAACGTTGGCACAGTATTAATGTAGAACACTGCACCAACGCTGGCACAGCATTAGTGGAGATCATTGCACTTCGTAAGCACAGCATTAATGTAGAACATTGCATCAACCTTGGCATAGAATTTATGGAGAACTTTGCACCAGCGTTGGCACAGCTTTAATGTGGAACATTGTACCAACGTTGGCATAATATATAATATAGAACACTGCACCAAGGTTGGCACAGCATTAATGGAGATCATTGCACCTACGTTGGCACAGTCTTAATGTAGCACATTGCACCAACGTTAGCACAGCATTAATGGAGATCATTGCACCAACGTTGGCATAGCATATAATAAAGAACATTGCACCAACGTTAGCACATCATTAATGGAGCACATTGCACCAACATTGGCATAGCATATAATATAGAACATTGCACCAACGTTGGCACAGCTTTAATCTAGAACATTGCACCAACGTTGGCACAGCTTTAATGTAAAACATTGCACCAACGTTAGCACAGCATTAATGTAGAACATTGCACCAACGTTGGCACAGCAAATTATCTAGAACACTGCACCAACGTTAGCACAGAATTAATGTAGAACATTGCACCAACGTTAGCACAGCATTAATGTAGGACATTGCACCAACGTTGGCACAGCATATAATAAAGAACATTGCACCAACGTTGGCACAGCATTCATGGAGATCATTGCACCAACGTTGGCACAGCATTAATGGAGATCATTGCACCGACGTTGGCACAGCTTTAATGTAAAACATTGCACCAACGTTGGCACAGAATTAATGTAGGACATTGCACCAACGTTGACACAGGATTAATGTAGAACATTGCACCAAAGTTGGCACAGCATATAATATAGAACACTGCACCAACGTTGGCACAGCTTTAATGTAGAACATTGCACCAACGTTGGCACAGGATTAATGTAGGACATTACACCAACGTTGGCACAGCATTTAATAAAGAACATTGCACCAACGTTGGCACAGCATTTAGTATAGAACATTGCACCAACGTTGGCACAGCATTCATGGAGATCATTGCACCAACGTTGGCACAGCTTTAATGTAGAACATTGCACCAACGTTGGCACAGGATTAATGTAGGACATTACACCAACGTTGGCACAGCATTTAATAAAGAACATTGCACCAACGTTGGCACAGCATTTAGTATAGAACATTGCACCAACGTTGGCACAGCATTCATGGAGATCATTGCACCAACGTTGGCACAGCTTTAATGTAAAACACTGCACCAACGTTGGCACAGAATTAATGTAGGACATTGCACCAACGTTGGCACAGCATATAATATAGAACATTGCACCGGCGTTGGCACAGAATTAATGTGGAACATTGCACCAACGTTGGCACAGCATTAATGTAGAACATTGCACCAACGTTAGCACAGCATTAATATAGAACTCTGCACCAACGGTGGCACAGCTTTAATGGCACAACGTTAGCACAGAATTAATATAGAACATTGACTCACGTTTTCACAGCATATAATATAGAACATTGCACCAACGTTGGCAAAGTATTAATGTAGAACATTGCACCAACGTTTTCACAGCGTTACCATGCTATCTGAAATAGTAGACACTTCAAATCTTTCGCAATATAATCCCTTATTATATTAATAGACTGTTCTATCAAAGAAACAGGGGTGAGACACATGTCATGTGTCTCCAGGAAGATATTGATAGTGTGGATTACCTTGAGTCTTTGAGTACACTAGTTCCGGTGACAGCGTAAAACCATTCACTGACAGTATATTTAGACACAGCATCCTTCTCAACCCTGTAGGCAAGCGGTCCCTCTTTATCATAAAAGACTATTCCAGTCACAGGCTGAACTTGCACTTGGATTGCAAGTTCTTTGGATTCAGAGGCATTTTCTCGAGGAGAAGGAATGAAGAAAACCTCCATGTGGATGGTTTGGTTAGTATTACCATCGTAATCACATGCTAATACTGACTCGGTGATCCTTTCCTTGATCATCAGCGCCACTTTCTGGTGGTCAGTGACGGGTACCTGCTGTCTTTCCAGTAGCTTAGACTTGTATTGATTGAAGGACACGTCTTTTTCTGCTATGCCGAAGAAATATGAACCACCAGATGGATTTTTCGTGAATGCGCTTATATATTGCGGTAGTTTGTGGTCTTCAAACATGAAACCAACGATGTTAGCATCTGTTTCTTCTCCCTCCCTGTAGTATCCTTTAAACTGAATTGATCTACTTTCGTTTAACACTTTTAAGTCTTCAAACTTCCTTTCATCTGGATACAAGTCTGTAAACTGTCTTCTTCGTTTCAGGAAAGTGATCAAAGTTTGATCTGATGGATCTTTTATTCGATCATCCAGGGCGATCTTCGTCTTTGGGTCAGATGTAGTTAAAAACAAACCGCCCTCAACGTACAGGACTATAAAGTCAGTGTATGACTGAACATCCCTTAGTATCTTGTTATCAATATCAGTACATAAGTCCTGTTTTTCATTCACTTTCAATGCTCTTTTCAGCTTTTTTAGTTCTTTCAGTGTCTCTACTTCCTTCAACCTATTCTCCAACAATATATCTAGCATCTCATCTTTGTCATCCAAATCCCGCTGCTGCTTTTCTAGCTGTTCTTTCAGATACTGATGTTCATTTTCTTTCTCTTGTATGCTTTCTTTCAAATGCTTCAACACTTCATCCTTTTCCTTCTTTATCTCTTGCAAACCAATGCAATAATCACTCAAGAGTTGCTTCTTGTAGACATCAGTGAAGAGACTTCCATCTTGAATAAGCTCCTCAAGTTTTTCATCTGCAAATTCGTTAAATGCGCCAGTGAAATTGTCTTGTTGGTCACGCCCTACCAGGTGTATAAGTATATGTCCAGAGTTTGTATTACGAAGGGCAGTAGCTTTTTTCAGCAGTTCATTTACTTTTAGAGCCCTCTTTTCCTTCTTGTCCTTCCTATGTTGAGATTTCGCTGCTAGTCCGTGCAGATAGTTTACATGTATTGCCATACACAAAATATTGGACTGAGTAGAAATTGTTTTGAAGATGGCATGGGCGTCTTTTCCCCTTGGAATGTTAATCCTACAAAGAGACAGGGTCAAACATTGGATACAACATACTAAAAGAAATGTTTCTGACTCTCCTCAACAATCATTCCAGAAGATCTAACATATGCAGCTATGTTGTCAGTATGAAAACCATTGGAGAGGTTTAACTTATTGATATATGTCCCACAATATAATTTGCATAATATATAATAAATGCACAATGACTCATCTTTGTCTTCATCCAAGCAGTAAGTATGCATTGTGAATATACCCAATGCCAGGAGGGTTAAATACAGGGCAGCTTATTTTAACAAATTAACTCATATTATCTATGGATTAGAAAGTGAAACCAGATTCCTTTCCTGGGCTTTTACTTCAACATACATATATTTAATGTCATGCCGAAAAGGAAGTCGATCAAAGCTCGGGAATATCCTTGTCATCACATGTGTGTAATTCAATGATAACGTTCTACAACAAAGAAACTCCTGTAAAACACCCACGTTAAGCATTCCTCGTGGTACTCTTTCTTGTCTGTTACAAGCGTTTTGTCTGCAGGGATATCATCCCCACAGTAAGCACATCTTGACATTTCATCAAGGATAGGTTTTTATTCAATATGGAAGATAGGATTCACTTGTGGGTGATTCTGTTTGCAGTCATACTGAAACAAAAAAAACACACATTTAATAAAAGGAAACATTATATCTATATCTATGTATATATGTATACTCTTCAAAAAAAGAAACGCAAAGCTAGATTTGTGAGGTAGAAAATATATATTTATACGAGGAGCCGTACAAGGTAATGAGCCAAAATCGTCGTTGTTGACGATGTTGTCGACTCATTATGACGCGTCGAACAGGATGTCTTGCTGGTAGACCTGATGCTCTTAAACGCTTTTGTACGGTCTGGTCGGAGATTCTGCGCAGTCCAGGTATTTGGGATACGGTTGAGGTGGCTGTGGTCGTCCTTTCACGTAGCTGGCGCAGTCGGATGTAGCGATCTTGTGCGGGGTGGTTACTCTTGGTCGTCCCGACCTTGGCCAATCACGTGTTGACCCATGCTGTTTAAACCGATCCTACAGCCTTGTGATGGTGCTGTGCACTATATTGAAAACCCTGGCTACAGTTGATCGGGATTCCCCTGCCTGCAAGCGGCCTATGACGTTGTTTCTTTCCACTTTTGTTAATTTTGGCTTGTTGTTGAACTGTCACTGCTCGATTGACGCAATCAAAAACCCTGCATTTCATGGTGCTGCTGCACATGCAGAGCGTGCAGCTGCATGTCCTTTTGTTTTCCGAATCGTACGTATTTCCCGACTAATGGTTTGCTTGTCCTTGTTGTGATCATTTTGATCCTGGAAACGTGTCACTGGCACAACACATTCAACCTCTTCATTTTGCACCTCTTGGTCCGCTAATTTTGCTTTTATGGCCAAAAATATCCATATTGCTTTTCTTTTCTTTTTGAAGAGTATCTTATATCAAAGTTCATATTACATTTGAAAAGAGTATACAAATTATTTTTGTAAGTAATCATGAGAGCCTGCAGAACAAGCTTCAATCTGTTGGTTGTGGGTTCGTGTCCAACATTTTGTCAAGCATTATTATTTGGGATAGTCAAGCATTTAAACTTTTACTGTATCTTCTTGATATGAAATACTGTAGAAGAGGCATTAGATGGGTGGCCCAGTCGCCATAGGCGCAGCCATTCGCTGGTCAGGGATGCGCCCTTTCTTAGTTTGTTAGGGATAGAATACGAACACGTATTGCTTGAACCATGTTTTAAGTTGACAGAGTAAACAAATAACGCAACTAATGTGACTTATTGCAAACAAACAGATGTGGACGGCACGGGTTTCCTCTTTATGTACCGTGTTACAAGTCGAAGCATCCCAATTACCATGACCTGCGTGTTTCCTGTTCGAATCCAAGATTTGTGTAATCCTTAGACAATACCGCATTTAAATACTTTAAGTATTTTCTGTGACATTAAATACTATCAGAATCTATCAATGTTCATACTGAACATTCGGGTGAGATGCCTTATATTCTAAATGCATTTGTTGTCAGTTGCGGTTTATTTAGGCACCGATTGGAACACAAGATGTTACCATTATTTACCCCCTTAACATAAATATAAGATTAACCCTTAGGGATATCCGGTACGGATTTCCATTAACCTGTGCTTATCATAAAAGACGACTTAATGGGTCGGGTGATCGGACTCGCTTATTTGGTTGAGACATGTCATCGTATCCCAACTGCATGGATCGATACTCATGTCAATCACTAATGTTAGACTCGATTATTTACAGACCTCCGTCTCATAGCTGGAATACTGCTATAGTGCGGCGTTAAACAACACATATTAAACTATAGTACCTTGGGCTTCAGGGGTAGAGTAGGTTCCCCGGTAGTCAATGCGTGTCAAAATGATTTTGAAGAAGTGGTCACCCATTGTGACCTGGCTGATCTTTTTTCGACATGGGTGGAACGTTGATCATACTGTTAACAATTGGTCTGTCTGGCACAAACTCGATTATTTACAGACCTCTATGTCATAGCTGATTTAAGATTGTGGCAAACAAAATATTTTTAGTATTATCAATGATTCAAAACGACTTGCACATTATAAGAATATTAAGTCATTGCTGACTGTTGACTATCTACATTCCCTCTAACAATCTCGGATATTACCGTAAACCTAGGTTCACGAATATGCCTTGAAGTGTAATACGAGAAGTATTGTTTCTTGATAGCAACTGATATTTTGTTATTGTGAATTATTCACGATATACGGATTTTCCATTGGACGAGTGGCGGATCACATGCCCACGAAACTGAATCACACGTTTTACACATCCAAACTATCGATTCGATCCCTGTCTAGACTGATAAGTAACATTCTAGGGCAATCTATGTATAAACTTCAGTATATAACTTGACACATCTTTATAATCATCGTTCAGTGTGTGTTTGTTTGTTTATTTGTTTGTTTGTTGTTTAACGCCACAAGCAACCATATTCAAGCTATATGACGGCTGTCTGGAAACAATCGAGTCTGGACAGAAAATTCAGTTATTGATATCATGAGTATCGATCCACCTGACTGGGATACGATGACATGCATCAACCAAGTCAGCGAGCCTGACCACGCGATCCCGTTAGTTGGCCCTTACGACAAGAAATGTCGCCTTTTGCAAGCATGGGTTGCTGAAGACCTGTTCTACCCCGGATGTTCACGGGTCTCACCGTTCAATGATCGGCCAGTTGATAAATGTTGACGAACACCTGTAATCATCACAGGTTCAAAAACAACTTCCTAAATCTCTCCCGTTACGTTTATCGTGTCGGCCATTGTGACGTCCTGTACTCGATGTAAATGTATTACTACGCGCTGTCATTGTGACTGACTTACTGAGATAGTTCTTAACAGACCTGTCCCATCAAATGAGGATATTATTTGAATCTATTTGTTGTATATCCAAACTACAAAAGATGTTACTGTAGAGCAAGTGGAGTATAATACAGTTCATGTCACCTCTCCTTTTGAGTAACTATATTTTTCCGCGCTGCAGCTGGTTGTTATATGGCTGTCAGTGTAAACATGAAGTCATGCACACGAAATTAAGTAGTGTATAGGACTACATCCTTCGAGGTTTGTCACATTCTCTATGAAGGTTCATACTCCAATGAACTCTGACAAAGTGAAAGTCAATTCTTAAATATTTAAACAGGTCTCTCTTTTATCGCGTTTGGTTCACTATGATCCACTATATCTTAGTTCATGGCTCAGTGCGGTGTTATTATGCGCTTTATGCAATGGGTCATCGCCAGATGAGGTGTATGCGATATAAGGTGTAGGCCAGATGAGGGCAAGCCATCTCGTTATGGTAGGGTAATGTCACACACAATATTCAGAGATTTTAGTTTGCAATAATTGAAGCAAGTTGTGCATAGAGGCAGTTGGGTGAATTCTCAAAATATTTTAAATTCATAACATTACACCTCTAATCTTGTTTAGTTATGTGACTATTCGGGGTTTTTCTTCACACTCGCTTCGCCAGATTATAAAACATGGGTTTAGGTGTATTTCAATTAGTATCAATTCAAGCTGTGGGGTTTTTCAACTCAGCAACCTCAGAAATATTTTTCAGGTTAGATTACTTTAGGGATTTCCTCATAACCACCTCAAAACGGATTACCTAAAAATACACAATCTCATAATACATAAACCAAAACCAGTTTTTTTTTCATTTATGTGAAATAATTACTGGTGCTATTTATATTTTTTAGATAACATACAGCACGATCTCCTTTGTCTATTTGTGTGTTATATTTTCTTTCTATTTTGTGAAAACATAAATATTTAAGAATGTGGATTAATCCCTGTATTCATTTCGTAATTTTCTACTATAATGAAAGATAACGAGCCAGCGAATTGTGAGTCAGCAAATTCGTAAAGAGCATCAAAAGCCCTGTCGCAATATGTTTTTTTGTGTCGATCTAATCTAACAGATCAAACTGGCAAACCCAGCTGAGGGCTATTTAATTCACTCGCCATCAACCAGACACATCATTCAATGACGTGTTTGAAACGTAAAAATATAAGTTACGCTTTTCGCGAACACCTGGAGTCAGCACTGATTTTCAGTCATCCATTCGTGTAAATTTCACCACTGTTTTACCCAATGGAAACTGTTTGGACAGATAATCGAGAGTGACGTTTCCCTGGCGTTGGCGTTTTATATTTACATTACAATCTTAACGGGAAAATATTCATCTTGAATATCTGATCAATTATTTTATGTTGAATTTCCCCTTCCAATGAGAACGCTATTATTAGGGTACATATTCCTCAATATATTGCACTGATGTAGTTTCAACTCATGCTTGATGTCACGCATAGTGTCAAAAAACGTTTCACAACGATGCGACTTCCGCATCTTCCCTTGTTTTTTCCGTGTATCAAACACATTGTCATGCGCGTTCTTATTTATCCACGGTCATTTGTAATGGATCACAACATAGGGAAATAATTTGCGCCCCCACAGATTATTTCAAACCATGAATGTGACAAGTAACGTTATAGACACTGTTTCAATGGGGAATTAACTCAATTTAAAAAAAACCCAATAAAGTACAATGGTAACTAGAAAGCCCCTGCCAAACCGTCAAGCAACTACCCTGTTTCTGGAGCGCAACACAGTCAATGGGTTAACACACGTTCGACAAAAGGTAGCACGTGACTCTGTAGAGAAGGATACAGTCACAGTGACCTTACCGGTACACATCACGTGACCTGGCAAAACATTTCTTGTGATAAACACAAGACGAAATAAACCGAAATACTTTGAGAGAGAGTTTGATCATAAAGCAGTCGTGTCCTACCCGCAGTGGTTCACGCGGGTGTCCTAATGCCCTTCTCCCTTACACCATATACGTAAGACCCGTGAAGATCCGGGGTAGAATAGGTCTTCAGCAACCCATGCTTGCCGTAAAAGTGGACTATGCTTGTTGTAAGAGGCGACTAACGGGATAGGGTGGTCAGGCTCGCTGACTTGGTTGATGCATGTCATCGATCCCAATTGCGTGGATCGATGCTCATGATGTAAATCACTGGATTGTCTGGTCCAGACTCGATTATTTACAGACCGCCGTCATATAGCTGGAATATTGCTGAGTGCGACGTTAAACAATAAACAAACAAAATGTTGTATATTATTTTTAACTACTATTTGTAAAACATTATCATTTTTCAGATTTGCAACAACGCTATAGAGATATGAAGAAATTGTCGGTAAAGCAATGTTTGTGATATATGTGATTAAATCAGTTGCTAGCCTTCAGTTACAACATTGAGGCCCTCAGACAAGCTTTCAAAATGTTTCATGGTAGACATGTGGAGGACATTTCCTAATTTGACGCATCAGTGACAAGTATGATGTCCGATGTTTCGCCTGTGTGTGGTACTTGAGAATGAGTAGGATAACAGTAGAACTTGTAGAAGGAAATAGCGAAAAAAACAGCCATACACACATACCTCATATCTACATTTTACTCCGGCATTTCATGAAGCGGGGAGCTTGAACAGTCACACATGAGTCACATGGTGTACAATGGTCAAACTATTTCCGTATTCCTGTCTGACCTACATGTAGGGGCGGTAGGTTATTTAAAGAGCGTAACTTCCGTGTCTGTTTTGAAGAAGTTATGTCACGGGTAACGTCAGCACAGTTTATCGGTAACGTTGATGTGCTTGTGTACAGGACATTATACTGGTCACGGTAGCTAGTTGTGGATCAATCCTCAATAAAGGTTCACGACATTCAAACGTTTTTTAAACAATTTTGTTTGTAATTACCATTACATTACGTCCGTTTTGTTGAATAAAAAACCTTCATGACCTATTGAATATTTTTTACATTGTTACTTGTACTCGTTTTTGTGTGTTTTCATTTTGCTGTGTGTTCTATTTATGTGTACTCCACTTGATATTCTCACGATCTTACCAAACTGAGAAAGACATGTTTTACTGACTGACTGCACTGACTCCCGGACGTTTCCGGACGCCCCGGACGTTTCCGGGCGTTAAATAGTAGAGTGTGGTTGTAATGGTGTGACGGTTTAGTGTACCTGCTTACAAATGATTGATAAAGGAGTTGATGCTCATTATATTTAGGACGATTCTCCTGAATTTCCTGAAAAGTCCTTGTCTGGCCTCGAAAGGGTATCTCCATGGTATTATGCTTAATGCACACCGTGTTAAGAGGCTAGGGCCTGGGGTTGCAACTCCGGAGCTGACTTCATGGAGCAAGGGTGCCATTGAATCACAAACAATAATAGGACGATGTGATACACGGGACCGCACACCTGAAGATGAGAACCCCAGGTCAAACTGACAGTCCAACACACCGTCAGTTAGCATTACCGTTAGGAAATACAGTCTACAAGGATGTGACATGTCCTACTGACTAGCAATTAACACACAGTAGCCTTGTACTTTAAAAATTTTAATCAACAAATGGACAATAAACCCATATATGGTTGCCTTACACAGTGTCTCAAATTCACAAAACGGGGCATTTTTTACCATATCTTTTACAATATCCAAACCGAGTCTGGAAAAGAGCCACGACGAGTTAAAGACTGTATTAAGCTTATCTGTTAGTTGAAACGCTGAACCCTGCCAAGCTTACAGTGTTGTATTCAGAATTAACGCTGTCAGAGTTACCTATAGATATCAACTTACATACAAATAATACCTGATACATTATGCTCCACTAAACAATGTGCAACTAAACTATATTGTTGGTCACAAGTCCAATCGTTACGTTATGTGTTCATAACGTCCTTGCTGCTGTATGAGAAATGAACCTGTGAAGGAGAAGTGGTGGAATTGTTTGAATGTTTGTACTACATTTTCTTCAATAGCAATAGACATAGAAACTGAACTCACATTTTAAGAAATTGTGTTTTCCTTTCCGATTCCGTTACAGATTTACGGTATTGTGCCTTCTGGCGTTGACACTATAGGAACACAGCGACGACCGACAATTTCAAAGTGAGGTGTGGATATGAAAATAAAATCCCACTCCGTAACTGCTCCATTAGCATGGCGATAGATGTCGATGTTGACAGGTCACGCGATATGTACCGGTTAGGTCACTGTGACACAAGACACGAGCTACCTTTTGTTAATATTGTGTTAACTCAAGGACTGTGTCGCGACTATTGTCGCCACATAAGCAGAATAGTTGCATGCCCAGTTCGGTACGGGCCCAGTTAGGTAATTACCCCTGGATGTGAAGTCAGACCAAACGACATATTTTAATTGATAGAATCACACGTTTTACACATCCAAACTAGCGATTCGATCCCTGTCTAGACTGACAAGTAACATTCTAGAGCAATCTATGTATAAACCTCAGTATATAACTTGACACATCTTTATAATCATCGTTCAGTGTTTGCTTGTTGTTTAACGCCGCACTTGGCAATATTCAACCTATATGACATCGGTCTTTAAATAATCGAGTCTGGGCCAGACAGTCCAGTGATTGACATCATGAGCATCGGTCCACACAATTGGGATCCGATGACATGTATCAACCAAGTCAGCGAGTCTGACCATCCGATCCCGTTAGCCGTCTCTTACGACAAGCATAATCGCCTTTTACGGCAAGCGTGGCCGACTCGTCTAAGGCGCCGCGATTCGCTGCGCAGAGTTGCGTCCCTTACGCACTCCAGAAACCTATGTATTGTGGGTTTCCTATCGCGGTTCACCCCGATTATGTTTCAAGGTTTGTCAGCACCATACCCGTGCTCGTGGGTTTCACAGAAGTGGTAAACACCTGAGACCTGCTTAACTTGGGGCTTTCCTCCCACATTAAGCTGACACGCCGCGATATAACTGGATTACGTTTAAAAGCGGCGTTAAAACCCAACTCACACACACTCACAGAAAAGGGAACAGTAACTTGAATCATTACACCTGTTTTAAATCATTCATTCTTACTGAAAAATATCTTTTGGATATACATTTTAAGAAATTCCGAACAGCACTATCCCGTTTCAGATGTAGTTCTCATGACCTTCTAATAGAAAAAGGTAGACATTTAGCGATACCAAGGGAAAACAGATTGTGTAAATATTGTACTTGCCATGAGATAGAAGATGAATACCATTTTTTGCTAGTCTGTCCATTGTATGCAAATATCAGAAAAGAATACAAACATACATATTTTTATCTAAGTCCTAGAATAGACAAATTTTATATCCTCATGTCATCTCAAAATAGAACAGTCACAAAATATCTTGTATATATACCATGCAATAAACATCAGATCCTCTGCATTATATATGTGATATTTAGTTACGATATATGTAATTCCTATTGCACCCATTGCTACTGTATGTATATATTACTATTGGTGTATGGCCTTTTCAGTACTTGAAATAAAGATTGATTGATTGATTGATTGATTGAATAAAAGAGGAGGACACAATACAATAATATATTTACATTACTTTCTCCTTGATGGCCAATAAACGTGAAATCCCCCTCTGCGTCTGATCCTGACCTACCATTTTGTACATGCATGTTCATGTTTACACACAGATCGAGTAACTGTTTACCTTGGATATTAATAATACCGGACTTTCTTGAAAGAGCAAAGCCATCATATTCATCGTTTAACGCATCAATTGGGTCATAACCGACGGAGTCATCTTCTATAAAACCTTGTTCTGATCCTATACGAGCATTCACAGCACCAAAAATGGTATTACTGTACATGAACCTGGATATTAATTACGCAGTGTATGCAGTTTTGTCTCTGAGAGTGAGTGAGTGAGTTAAAATTTAACGCCGCATCGGCATTATTTCAGCTATATAGCGACGAGACCAAGTTGATATACGCACAACTTATTCATGAATACAAAGTTATTTTAAACATATGTCTCTAAGAATTCTATACTAGTGCAGTCTCGCATATTAGCTGCTGCTGTTGCAGTATTATATCAGCCACATATACAAAATCCAGTATAATTGGAGGCCTTGGCAGTACGTTTGTAAGATAGAAAACACAATCTGTCCATTCACTGTGTAGTCGGGTGGACTTCCTTATACATATGTTCAAATGTTCAAAATGTGTGGTATTTTTGGCCCAAGTTTCTATGAAGGTAATGATGTCGAAGGTTTTATAAAAGAAATATTTTTTTGAGTTTTGAATAAAGCTTATTTACATTCCATGATATGAAGGATAATAATATTTCCGGAATATATCTATCATCTTGTTTGGATTTAGTAGTGGACCTGCACGTATCTTAACTATGATGATGGATTGCCCGTGCTACTGTCACGCCAGATTGTCTCTCGGGGTGGCCGTCACCACGTCGTCTTCTTGCTCTGGGGTCCCGGATGTGGGAAGCTTCATCAAGTTGGGTCGGCGAGGGGAGTGGCATGCTGGAGGGGGTATCGTCACTTTTCCATCGGGACCTTCGTTGTCTTTTTTCAATTGTATTTATAACTCACAATATTCACCAGCAGCTTGTCGTTTTAATCGTTTTATCCTTACATTATATTCACTGATAGGTAGGGCAATGTTTTTCCATTTATCTTTAGATTGTAGCCATTCATCTTCAGAGCACTTCCTTTAAAACCAGCTTTGCAGTCACAAACTTATGCCATACTTTGACGCACACATTCTAAACCTACCAGATGTCTTTCTTTAAAAAAATACTCTGATACTGAGGGCCGTGTCTTTTCCGGGAACACTGAATAACCGTTGTTCAAGTGTCTGCCGAGGGAAATTGTCAATTCGATCTTCTGCGGATCGCTGGTGGTCGGAGAATACGAAGTCTTCAACTGGTACCGGTTGCACATGAAGACACTAGTTGCCAGCATGTTAACCTTCCCTTCGTCAAGAATGTCTTCTCTTTAGTCCAGCCAAAATAGAACTTCATAATACCAGCCTAGTACGGCAAGGGTGGAAACTGGACTTTTGTAGTCAGTTTGCCTCGGGAAGATGCATAAGTACTGGACAACAGTAAGTACTAACGTTATCATAAATAAACAATCATCAGAGATCTGAGATAACATGTATTTTTACTAGTTTATGCATCTATGTTTCAACTTGGAATTTATGGGACCAGGGTGCAACCTGTTTTTGTTTTGTGCAACTGGGTTTCCATGTCAACTGGTGCAAGTTAGGTCAAGTTTAATACCTACATGTATATCAAACCCTGATTGCACACAAGAAACTTAAAGGGAAAATCTATACATTTTATAACTCAAGTTGCAATTAAGCTATATCATGGTATTAATTTGAACATGCTTAAAACATGCTTGTGCATGTAACACTACACCTTCATTTTCTTATCTGGTAATCAGCCAATACTTCGACCCCAATTACAGATATTGCTGCAGTATTCTCTGTGTTCAGGTTCAGTGGGAGTGAGGTGTGTGCTTACTAGGACAATGAATGAATAATGCCCTCCTTGTATTGAGCTGGTTTAACTTTTGTATTCTTTGTCAGAGCTCCAGATAACTTTTTGAGCAATTGAGTTTTTACTTTTGGGTTTCTATTTTAATTTGGTTATTACATTTTTCATTGGGTAATTAATATTTTTTTACTCATCTATTCATCACTACTGGGTTTCTCCCAAACTAAGTGTACGTTTCAAGATTTAAAAAAAAAGAAAAATGTTTTAGATATATATATAACCGTTCTAAATACATGGGCTTGACATGGAAAGTAAATTAGCTCGTAACTGAGTTTCAGAAATTAGATCCTTCGTACACATGCCGAGAAAAATTAATTGGGTATATATACGCATGCTGTTTTTATAAATATGAGTTGTTCATTTAATGCATGCGTTTCTGTACGCCAGTTAATTGAGCGTAATTGGGTTTTGAACATTTGGGGGGGGGGGGGGGGGGGGGGGGGTATTTTACGCTGCCTATCTGTAGCTCTGATTTGAGTTTTTTGTACGTCAGTATTCTTACACGAAGCTATGTTCTAGGTTTGGTGTGAGGGTGGTCTACCCTGGCTAGCAGCATGACAGCGAAGAGTTATGCCCGGAGCATCGAACTACCAACAGAGAGCATATTTAGGAACCTCAAACATGCTCGGAGATTTCCTATTGATATACATGTAGGTAAACCGGGTCACTGGCCCAAGTTATAACACTTTGAAAAATATGTTCAAAGAATTATAAACTATTTTGAAACCTGGCTACAAAAAGAAGAAAAAGTTTACTGTTGACTATGTTAAAAATGTATTTTTGTACAGCTACTAAAACAGTACAGATATGTCAATGTGTAAGGTAGTGATAGCCAGCGCTTACAGTCAAAGGGAGATAACTCTAGACACCCGAAGTGATGACAAATGTGAGTAAAATAAAATTATAACAAGGAATTCCGTATATAATTAAAGTTGTAAATCACTTTTTCGAGTAACCTATTATTTTAAAAGGTTTAGTTTCATTGACGTTTGAACTATCCGAAACATTCTCTGATGTTAAATTTTACAAGCGCTAGGTTAAATGAAGTTCCCAGCTTTGTCATTTTTGTAAGTGCCCATGGGGCTTATGGCAAGTATGGTATAAAGTTTGATATGAATGTGTTGACAGGAGGCTCCCTAGCTAAGCTGTACTACTGCTCTACAGTCAGCAGGAGGACATCCATGGTGTTTGATGAACCAGAGCAGGTCAGCATCTTTCATATCTTCAATAAGCATCTAAAATCCATGCTCTTCCTTAAGAAACTGATTCTTATTGGTGATGAAAAGATGGCCATATCTTTACATCAATGCATGTTGAGTGAGATGTTCACCCCAGAGCTTGCATAGCAGAAATTGACACACAAGTTGCCGACCAAAACCAAAATTACAGAATAATGAACATTTTCAATGGTATAACAGAATTTTATACTGTACATTCAATATGATATAGATTCCTTTCTAAACATTTTACTCATTAAAAAAAAAATGCAATAAAAGCAAGAAACAAAATTTCTTATACTTCCTGGAAAACAGGTCCAACTGTGCCTCAGAATTTGAAGAAACTTGTAAAGAGTCTTCCGGGGACAAACAGTTGCTGATATATTCAATCTCATTAAAATCATATCTTAGCTCTCGCTGCCTCTAAACAAAGATCTGAGGACATCCCATTATGGCTCACGTCAGAACAAATCAAACCGCCGACTCTTTCTTCACATGGTCTACAGTGAGTGAGTGTGAGTGAGTGAGTATGGTTTTACGCCGCCTTTAGCAATATTCCTGCTATATCACGGCGGGGTACACCAGAAATGGGCTTCACACATTGTACCCATGTCGGGAATCGCACCCGGGTCTTCGACGTGACGAGCGAACGCTTTAACCACAAGGCTACCCGACCGCCCCTGGTCTACATTGACGTGATCGACAGCTTTAACAGGATCTAACGAGTAACTGATACCTAGCAATTAATCACATCACAAATGAGTTTTGTGGAGTGTATGATCAGATAAGGTTGCTAATATCTCGTGCTGGTCACAACTGCTGACTAAAATGGGGATCTGGGGTCAGGTTCTGTGACTTGACTGTTGTGTGTCACTGTGTTCTGATGGCGTGGGTCAGTGCCAGTGATACATCTTGAGTACATTCGTGACCAACTCGTGTTATTCCGGGACAAGCCGAATAGCGACTCGTGCCCTTCTCATGGCCATTTTTGCGACTAGGTTCCGTCTTAGCGAAAACGGGCATACCTAAAACAATTGTCAGGTATATTGTATATATTTCAGATGCAAGTTAAAGGACATCGGGACGTGCGGCATTATACAGTATGATTGTACACATGTAACTGTGTCTTCGGTATATTTTAGATGCAAGACATATGTAAAATCAAAAAATATTTCTGAGGGATTATTTGACAAAGAACCCGAAATCATACGCGCATTCTGATTGGTTTGTGGTATTTTCGCACGTAACATTCATCGATAGGGGGAGGAGTCTTCTTGTAGGTTACGGAAAGGGGCGAGTTGTGACGAATGATCTTGAGTATTGCTGGCTGCAGCGTTAAACAACATTCATTCACACGCATCAAACCCTTTATTCTGTGTAAACCACACCTTGACGTTTGCACTCATAGACTTCTGTTTGATCATCACAGACGTTGATGGCACCATTACATGTCACTAAACGCTTGTTCTCATCTCGACCCTGAAACGCAATTGAAAAGGCATATTTACGTCAGTGCTTTTCAAATATTATGTTACTATGTTTTAAACTAGTATACATATATGCATAAATATGCATTACCAATTTCTTTTAAATAAAATGAAATACAACCATAATAATAATGCACCCTTACGTTACGACACAAAAGATGGAGTAAGTCCGGTATCATTCAACGTATCTTTTCATTTCTCTGTGATTGTAATCGTAGTATTTTTCTTGATTTTAACTCTTTGGCTAATCTTATCTTCGCCACTGGTCAGAGGGATGGTGTAAATCCTGCTAGGGTACCATGAAGGTAGCAGCAGTACCGTAAGTCCCCATGGTCCCTAGTATGGTGGCCTAACTTTGGTTGCTGGCGATCTACAGCCCGTATATTATATCATCTGTCATAATCTGATTATTTTATTGTTCTAAAACTAGTTTTAAAATTATAATCTGTGATATATTGCTAGATGTTGTACTGTCCTTCGACGACAGTGTTAATATATTATATAAATACACAACTTTCTCAAGTCACAATATGGCTGAAATAATGCCGATGTGACTTTAAATATTAACTCACTCACTCACTTACAGGATGGGGGTCGGTTGTTAAGTAATCGATCAACCATCAAGTCTAAAATCAGCACTTGAAATTCAATTTAATCCTTCAGGATGTCAGACGTTGTCAATCAGTATCCTGTGTGCACACCACGGACATCAATGCACGCCCTACGACGCCGTACAGATGTGAGACGTCTGATCACAAGAAATGGGATTTGACGCCATTCTATTCGGAGGGCTTGTGCTGACTGTTCATTGTTATAAGGGCGATCTGGGCGTGCTCAAATTTGTCAGTCAAGGTGATCCCACAAGTGTTCTGAAGGTAATAGGTCTTGTGATTGTGCTTGTCAAGGCAAGACGTTGTATGGGGCTTCGTGGTATCTTGCTGAAGGGCCCGGGGATTCTGTTGCCAGAACGGTAGTACAGGCTGGAGAGATTGGTCAATGTAAAGCTGTCCAGTGATGTTTTCTTCCAAAATCACCAGATCTGTCTTAACTTGGCTAATGCTGCCGCCTTGACTTGGCTACAGATGCCGCCATAAACAACGATGCCGCCACCTCCAAACGATTCGACATCTTTAGCGCAACAACATGTGTGAATACCTCGAATCTGCTCTCTCCTGTGAACACGGCTCTTTACCAGTTTATGTCCTACCAGTGTTCGAGCCCATCGATGTCGGTCTTCTGGTGTCAACGTTACGTTTCCCAATGGTCTGTAAGCTATCATATAGTACCGACACAGTCTTCTGGACACTGTCCAGTGACTGACATGGTGACTGGACCATTAGCCTGGTGACTGTCATTCGGCTACAGCCAAAATCCCTTGTGACGTGTACATGTGTTGCTCCTCGATGTATCATACCAAGGGCTTGTTCTCTCTGTTGCAGCGTTATTTGTCACTACCCACTTAAAACTGAATTTCCACTGATCGGGATACTATAGGACTTGCATTCCTCAGCAAATTGCTTAAAATTCAACCATTTGGGGATGTACACCAGAAATGGGCTTCACACATTGTACCCATGTCGGGAGTCGAACCCGGATCTTCGGCGTGACGAGCGAATGCTTTAACCACAAGGCTACCCGACCGCCCCCACTACTGAACGAACGATGTTACCAAGGATACGTTAGTTCACGAGCGGAGGTAGTTTAAACAGCGTCATGTGACGGCCCATTATGACGTAACTCAAAAAGTGTACTTCATCGCAGGATAAAGTACAGCACGCGCCTTTCATCACTCAGCTGTTTGTTTGTTGTTTCACGCCGCACTCAGCAATATTCCAGCTATCTGTAAATTATCGAGTCTGGACCAGACAATCCAGTGATTGACATCATGAGCATCGATCCACGCAACAGTGGGATATGATGATATGCATCAACCAGGTCAGCGAGCCTGACCACTCGATCTTGGTTTCTGTTGTGTTATATTATCAAACATACTATACATATCGTAGTAATCGCAAGTATGAATTTTGTAACCTATAATTGTACATACCATGAGACCCGTGAAGAGTCTCAAAAGCTCACATCTATCATAATCCATGCCCTACAGACCCGTGAAGATTCCGGGGTAGAATAGGTCTTCAGCAACCCATACTTGCCGTAAAAGGCGACTATGCTTGTCGTAAGAGGCGACTAACGGGATCGGGTGGTCAGGCTGGCTGACTTGGTTGATGCATGTCATCGATCCCAATTGCGTAGATCGATACTCAGGATGTCAATCACTGGATTGTCTGGTCCAGACTCGATTATTTTAAAGACCGCCGTCATATAGTTGCGGCGTTAAACAACAAACCAACAAACATACCATGACTTCAAAATGCCTTCTCACAGTGATTGAGAAAGAAGTATTAGCCACTGCGGTGATGCGGACGTCAAATCAGTGCCTTCAATCAGAGGTGGTTATTGTAATTTGAAACTTCTGATTAACAAATCAGAATCGATTATTTTCCAAATCCGTTGCAGAATAGATAGTGCTTTAAATAGCATTGGAAAGAACGGCCTCATTTTTTACAAATGCACGTGGCTAAACGTGGAGCAAAATAGTATTCTTCTCCCTTCAAATACCTCCTTCCATTGTCTCCTTGTGTTATCTTATAAAAGTGCTCCAATGAACGATGCGCCATTTAATAGGGTCTAATTCAACTACCCCTTCTGCCTTATCCATGTTTTGACTTCCATTTGCATGTGTTTGTGACAGGGGTCATTGGTGAGGCAAAATAAGCTCACCTTTTCCCGAACACCTGTTATCATCACTATTTGATAGTGATTCATAAACACATGCTCATGATTTAGTCGGAATCGCACAATCGACTCTGCTTTTTGCTGATTTCTTATGAAAATGGAAAGTGTTTTGTCCCTTTTAATAATATTATCATTAATAAAATCACATAATTGTTTCGTCTACACGAAAGTTTAACGCAGCCAAATGTTGTAGATCTGCTCAGCTTCGTCTTGGAACTTTGATTACGAAACTTTGAATAAATACAGCTCTGCGTATATCGACATATAGCAATACCCTTCTTCGCCCTTCCCCAAACTCGCACGACAACAATATTGTTGGATGTTTGACGCCATCAGGGGCGGATGCAGCTCTTTGAAAAGGGTGGGGTGGGGTGCACAGCTAAGATCTATTTATTGTCTTTGGCGGTAATTTATACAGAAATAAAGATTTTTTTCGAAATAAAAAGGGGGGGGGGGGAAGCGCAACCCCAAACCCCGCACCCCACCACCACCCCCACCCCCTCTGTATCCGCCCATTGCTATATTCATAATTACTGCAGCTATATGACGGCGGTCTCTAAATAATGGAGTTCAGACCAGTTCAGTGACTGACATCATGAGCCTCAAGCTGCGCAATTGGTATACGATGACATGCATCAACCAAGTCAGGGAGCTTGACCACCCGATCCATTTAGTCACCTCTTACGACAAGCATGGGTTGCTGGGAATCTATATTCTCACCCGGAGTCCCTACTGGTTGCCATGACAACAGCATATTCTCTCTGGATATGGCACTCGTTCTTAGGCTGGATCAGCTGTGGCACCACCAACCCCACAGGCACAGACAGGAACATCAAGACACCTGGGACAGAGAAGACTGAATGAATATTTACCATGTCACCATGACTTCGTTTTACATAATAAGTAGGGAGGGATGGTGGTGGCCTAGTCGTCTAAGGCGCCGCAATTTGCTGAGCAGAGTTGCGTCCCTTGGGCACGCCAGAAACCTATGATCGTGGGTTCGAATCCCAGTTCTCCCCGATCATGTTTCTGAGTTTATCAGCACTGTATTCGTGCTCGTTGTTGCCTTGCAGATTAACCTGCCATGCTGGTATACAACTGGAATGATATTACAAAGCGGCGTTCAAGCCCAACTCCATCACTCACTCACTCAATCACTCACTCACTCCATCACTCAATCAATCACTTACTCACTATATGATGCACATCCTTCATGTTTACCAATTCAGTAAAACCAACTAGATTAGGTAAGGTGGTTACACACTAAGGGCGAATAACTGATTTGAACCCAAGAACAACGGATTCTGGCACGCTTAAGGGACGCAACCATGCACAGCCAATTTCTGTATCTGAGACCTATATTTGAGACAAAGTACGAAACATTCTTTTGCAGCCTTGTTCCTAATTACGAGAGCAAATGCATTAGTATCGTCTTCTGAACTGATACACGCTAATTATGGGTTAACATGAACATTATGTTTGAGTGGCTGCTGCTACCGGTGGGGTGGGGTGGGGGGTGGGGGGTGTCGGGTGGGGCAGGACATGCTTACCCTTTTCGCGAACACCTGGTGTCATCAGTAATTTTCATGATCTATTCATATACGTGTATTTTGCCTTTTGCGCCCGATGGAATCTGTTTCGGCGGATAATCGAGACTGGTTATTCTCTGGCGTTGACGTTTTATATTTAAAGATAACAATCTGGTATAAACTGAGTCTCACCTGCCAGATACATGCTGCAGTCATATGATCCAGTTATATCCACAAACCAGCCTGAAAATGACAACGGCTGTTTGTACTACTGTAGTTCAATGATGTGACTTGGGTCTGCGCACTCTACGATGATTTATCTTACTTTTTTTATTATTTGTGATTTAACGCCCCAGTAATATAAAAGCAAAACTAGCTGAAAAAAAATCCTGTGCATCACTGACTATCATGGAAAATAATACGCAAACAAAGAACAATTTTACAGAAGAACAATATATCGATGTTATGAAACATGAAACAGTGTCAATACAGTCATGTCAGACTGAAAGAGGCGTGGGATCAATTGTTAGGTCACAAGTCACCATTAGCAGTGGCACACGCTTGACAACGGCGCCAGGGGCGGTCGGGTAGCCTTGTGGTTAAAGCGTTCGCTCGTCACGCCGAAGACCAGGGTTCGATTCCCGACATGGGTACAATGTGTGAAGCCCATTTCTGGTGTCTCCCGCCGTGGTATTGCTGGAATATTGCTAAAAGCGGCGTTAAACCATACTCACTCACTCACTAACAACGGCGCCTCATTGACGACACGCGATGTTTGAGGAAGGCGTGTGGGATGTCATGCCAATCTGGATCAAGGTCTGTCGCACCTACACCAACTTCCCGGGGGGTTTGGAACAGGGCGTAAACGACGTTCATTTCATCTCACACATGGTCAATGGGCGACAGATCTGGCGACACTGCAGGCCAAGGGAGTGTGGGATGTTCTGTTGTCCAATGAAGTCTGTCACCACACGTGCAACGTAAGGGTGAGTGAGTGAGTGAGTGAGTTGGGTTTTACGCCGCTTTTAACAGTATTCCAGTTATATCACTGCGTGTCAGCTTAATGTGGGAGGAAAGCCCGAAGGGATGCAGGTCTCTGACGTTTACCACTTCGGTGAAACCCACGAGCACGGGTACGGTGCTGACAAACCTAGAAACATAATCGGGGCGAACCGGGATTCAAACCCACAGTCATAGGTTTCTGGCGTGCCCAAGGGACGCAACTCTGCACAGCGAATCGCGGCGCCTTAGACGACTGGGCCACCCGTGCCCCCGCAACGTAAGGGCGTGCATAGTCCTGCTGTGAAGGGGTGTGATGCCTCCCCACATCCACCACCGAATGCTGAACGTTGAACAACACACGCGTGGCGTGACGTTCCATCCGACGTCGATAAACACGCTGACGGCCATCACTGCTTTCAAGATGAAACCTGGACTCATCTCTGAAGAGGACTGACCTCCAGTCCTGTGACCTGAACCTCAGATGTTGCTTGACCATGTTGTCTTGCAGCTCGATGACGTGGCAGTAAAATTATATATACCGCTGGACGCCGTGATCGGATGTCATAATCGGTGTACTAATCGGAAGTAAGCCAGGGTAGCTGTGGGCTGTCAAAGGTGCAGCTTGAAACAGATGTCTCAGGTGAACAAAACGGTCAGGATTATCTTGCTGATGTTATTCGTGGACATTCCAGAACGTGGTCGGTCGAAGGTGTTGCGAGTATGGTGGTACCGATCCAAAATTGACTTCACGGTGTTACGATTAACACAAAAACACCTTGCAAAATACTTTAAACAATTCCGGATCTAAGCATTCCAGTTGCACGGAACAGCTCATTTTTTCAGATAGGCGTAGTATAACGCTTACGATGCTTGGCTGTCAATAAAGTTGCTTTTCCTTGTTGAAACACTGGGTAATCATGACAAAGTGTTTGTAATGTGATTATCAAGCATGATTCTGAAAAAAATCATGGCAATTTATTTTCATTTGATTCTATGGTGCACAGGAATTTCTTTCCCTCTAGTATATATGACGGCGATCTGTAAATAATAGTGTGGACCAGACAATCTAGTGACTGACATCATCCGCATTATCCCATGCAATTGAGATACGATGCCATGCATCAACCAAGTCGCCGAGCCTGAAAACCCGATCCATTTAGTCGCCTCTTATAACAAGCATAGTCGCCTCTTACGACAAGCATAGCTGGGAACCTATATTGTTACTAGGAATCCCTACCATTTAATATTCCTGAATATTGGATCCTTTTCAGAAACACAATAATTGTTTTGCATTGTTTTGTGTTATGTTATTTTCAAAAGAAATTATTCATAGTACTTTCTCCATAAAGGAAACTAATATGTTTTTTACCAAACCCTGGTGATATACTTATTCATGCTTACCTGCTAAAGGTGGCGCCACAAGCAAGCCAAGCCCAGAACAGATCATGGTTACACCAAACGCTGTTGCAAGCCGCATCATGCCAACACATTCTAGTGTCAGGGCAGGGTTCAGGGCGTATGATCCACCCAGGTACGTTCCTATGAGAATTACAGCTATCAGTTGAGTGACGTATGTCTTCGCAAATAGTGGCATCAAACAGAATACTGTACCAGCAGTCATCAGAACTCCAAAATAAAGGATCCACACATTCTTCTCGCTGGCGTGAGCAAACGCCCCCAGCAGGATTCGCGACACAATGTTGGCTGGGCCGTTGACAGATAGAACCCAGGCGACATGTTGAGGTTTTGTACCATAAAATTCACAGAAAGCTGCCAAATGAATATTGAGTATACCACACGATGCGTTCACCATGATCTGATTCACGCAAAGCACAACAAAGGCCAGATTCCTGAAAATGTCTAATTGACTTTCAGTAGTGCTACGACTCTGGGTGACGGTTCCATTCTGCATAGGTTCACTGTCGTCTTCAAGAATTCTACTTTCATACCTACCGGGCTCACATGACGTTGCCCTTGAATGATTAGGGTCATCGTTTGTACATCCATTGATCAAGTGGCAGGAAGTGACCTCCTCTGAAATGCCTGCACGTCTATGTTTGCAAAACGCTGAGAGAACCCGTTCCTTTTTTCTTTCGTGTATAGGAAACATAAGTGCTCCAAACAAGGTTATATGAATACAGATTCCCGCCAAAATGACCAGACATTGTTGCCATGCAAAGTTGTCCAGTAGGTAGCGGAACAGTAATGGCGCGACCAGGAGTCCAGTGCCGGCGGCTGAGAGGGCAACACTTGTCACAAAAGTCCGTCTCTTGGCAAAGTAGTAGCTGACAATGACGACACAGGGCGTGTAACTTAATCCTAATCCAAGACCTGTGTACAAATAGCAAGTTATGAATGATTAGGCAAATCACAAATACCTAAAAATACATAACAACAACAATGGCAGAAGACTGCAGTGTTGGGGAGTCTTCACACTCTTCGAAAAGTTCTTGGTGACTTTGACAAGGCAGCGCTACCTGGGAGAAGTCCCATTCGCTGTCTGGGCTGCGTGTAGAGGGGGCAAGGGCCCTGAGCTGATGAGCCTAGCCAACCTGACTGTGCCAGGAGCACCCAAACCCTCTTTGCAGCATGAGGAGTGGTATTTACAGACCACCCTTGTGTAGCTGGATTATTATGTGGCGTTGTAGACAAACAAGCAAACAACCAGGACAGAACAGGCTCTCGTCGGTGTTCAAGTACAATATGATAATATGTAAAAAAAAGACTAACTATCAGACTGAGCGACGTTTCAACTTGATCAATTCTGCCTGCAGTCAATCACACTTCTTTCGTCTAAACGTATACGACAATACACAGGTATGGTTCATTCCCACCTGATACTAGTGTATAACGTAAAGTGTTGAGTCACTGTTAAAACTGATAAAAGCACTTGACATAAATAGATTACTTATCTGCAGTATTAAGAGACGTTTCTGTTAATGACATGCCATAAGAAAACGGCATACTATCTTAGGTTCATAATGACAAGCTTTGACTTTGAAGAGAGACCAAATCTTTAAGTCATGAACTGGTATATAAACCCTTAATTTATTTAGTCTCCTTTCACCGAGTCATGCACTTGAGTAGAACTTAAATACTTACCGGCAATAATTCCGAAGGACACAAAAAATAAACCCAGTGATGTTGCAAAACTACTTGCAACGAGACCCCCCGCAAGCAGCAGTCCGCCGAGCATCACGGACGTCCGACAGTCGAAGTAGAAAGTGATGACACTCGCAAGAGGACCTGGAAGTAAACACGGTCATCATCACAATCAGACAATGCTGTGTAACATGTTACAACGTTACGTTAATGATGACATTCTCATATAGAATATAGAGCCAAAAGAGTTTTGCCAGTGCAATGCTGGTAACCACAGCGGTGCATGAATGTGTACTAATATGCCATAATCTGCATCACGTCGACGCCGTATGACGGTGCACCGACTGATGTGGTTTCCGAGAGCCGTTGCTGCCGCCGACGTTGCCGTAAGGGACCTGTTGAGATGATAGATAGTCAAATGTGCGTTGCGACACATGTGGTACCTGTCCTTGGCCTCTCGTGTGTTCTTCCTGTTTCTCTGTAGTGTTGAAACAATGCAGAAATTGTTTGCCTTGAGTGAGTGAGTGAGTATGGTTTTACGCCGCTTTTAGCAATATTCCAGCAATATCACGGCGGGGGACACCAGAAATGGGCTTCACACATTGTACCCATGTCGGGAATCGAACCCGGGTCTTCGGCGTGACGAGCGAACGCTTTAACCACTAGGCTACCCGACCGCCCCTGTTTGCCTTGAACAACCAACCGTTCTTGTCGTTGCCCCCATTTGCGCCATATCATGCTCTTCTTATCTCTTTTCAGCCTGGTAATGTTACAGTGGCTGAGCCGTAATTTTTTTTTTTTCTTTCTTTCTGCCTCTCAGTTTAGTTGAAACGCGGATGCTAGGTCTCTCAATCATGTCATACATAAACACGGGGATGGTTCAGTACACCCAGAAGCAGACCTTTCTTGCCAATGTTTGTTTGTTTGTTTGTTTGTTGTTTAACGCCGCACTCAGCACTATTTCAGCTATATGACGGCGGTCTGTAAATAATCGAGTCTGGAGCAGACAATCCAGTTATTGACATCATGAGCATCGATCCACGCAATTGGGATACGATGACATGTCAGCGAGTTTGACCACCCGATCCCGTTAGTCGCCTCTTACGACAAGCATAGTCGCCTTTTACAGCAAGCATGGGTTGCTGAAGACCTATTCTACCCCGGATCTTCACGGGTCTTCTTGCTAATGACCATTTCAATGACCTTCATATATGAAGGTCGCTTAAAACTTCACCAATGGAATGTGGCGCCATAAAGATCAACTTTCATCTACTAATGTGAACACGCCCTGGGTTATCAACAACATAATACATGACACTGAATGGGGGTTTTAATCTCAGTTAATAGTAGTTTAACATTCTCCATACTTCTCCATTACATAAGCATATAAACCAAATAAAATGTCCCTTGGTGTCCGTACCGTTAATTAACAACGAAATAACCTACCACTGATATACTATTGTCACCACTGGTCTTACATAAGTATTCAAATTTTCAAAATTTTCAAATTCATTTTCGTTGTTCCTGATGTGAGTCAATGGTATGTCGGACCAAGGCTCGATTATTTACGGGCGGCCGTCATGAAACTGGCATGTTGCTGTGATAAACACGAAACACACCACCAACTGTAAAAGTCTTCATAATCCTGGTTATTACAAAAACAAATGGTTGAAGAAACAACAGCTGCAACCTCTCCCAAAATACCGCAAAATAGGCTTTACCTGCGAAAAACATGAGTGAACCATACACTGACGTGACCCAGGCTGTAAGGCCAACACTCTCCTGGAAGTGCTCCAACAGAACCACCTGGAACATCCCTCCCATGTAACACACTCCCGACAGCAGGAATCCGTTCATATAGGCCGCCACCAGGACCACCCACGCCCAGCCTTCGTCCACGTCCTTCTTCGTCATCACGTCAACCGTGTCGACCTAGATGTCACCTGTGAAAAATATTGTAGCACTTATGACGCTCCTAATCTTCAGTATGTTTTAAAGGTTTTGCCAGTATCAAGCTATGTGACATTGGGAACCAATTCGGCCATGTACACCTTCAGAATCACAGTTGAGAAATGAAAAAATAATAAAATAAATGCTACTAAAGTTGTGAAACTTGAACAATATGTACATACACGGCATGTTGTGATACACGTAGTGTTTAACCGAACAATCCCTTAGGTACATACTATGAGGCATACAATCTACGTCATGATTCCTCATGCGAAATACCACATGTGGTGACAGATAGGACACAAAGATTGCAACTAAAAACACATGCTCTATTCTGCGCACTCAGCATTATTCTACCTATGTGACGGCGGTTTATAAATAATCAAGTCTTGACCAGAAAATACAATGATTGACATAATGTGTAATGATCCAGGCTGTCTTGTTACAATAACAACACGCTATCAACCAAGTCATCGACTGATTCTGATTCCGATCCATTTACAGGCTTCTTGCCATCAGCATAGGTTGCTCAAAACCCATATTCTTACCCGGAATTCCCATTGTCTACCAAGGGTTCTCACCAATAACGAATGAATGGAGTAGAATTTAGCTGGAATGTTAATGGACAACGTCACATTAGTTAAGCCTGATATGTCTTCTTAAAACACCAGATATGTGTAGCTCACCTGGTCTGAACTATTTACATTTTCGACTTCTTCGAAATGGCTTGATGGATTCAGCTTAACTTTTGTGTGGATGCTTGTTACTATAAGGAGATTCACGCAAACGCCAGAAACAAGGGACAGTGTCTCTAATCAGCAATATTGTAATATGTATAAAAATTGTGTCATCTGCCTTAAATATCTTCTCAGATCTTTTGTTTGTTCCCACCAATGACGACGCTCAAGTTGTTCAAGAGGTTCGTATCATGGCGGCCATATTGAAACAAATATTGGTGGCCATTTGTGTTCAAAATGTAATAAAAAACTAGAAGCGGGGCTCAAAACATGTAAACTTAAACTTGGAAATTAATAAAGCACCACCAAAATCAATATGACAGAGAATCAAACGTTTTGAAATTGGGCAAGTTGTGTCGATATGTTAGATATTTCCTCACAGCATATTGAGATGGCGTACGTCTCAACCTTAATAGTCCTTAAAGTAGGGTCAGAATAATGTAGATCAAGATGAGGTAGAGTAACGTGAGGGTTCCAAAGTTTATTACAGGAGCAGAGTGGTGTGGATACATAATTCATTCAAACTGATAAGTTTACAGTGATAGCAATACATGTATATATACTCTGCAAAGAAAGAAACACAAAATAAGTAAAAGAGTACATATCTGACGGAGTGTTGCCGACATCCATACAAAGAAAATGTTAAATTCAATTGATCATTTCTGCATGGATTGGGAGTGATTTGTGTGAAAAAAATGAGGTGATGTAGTCATTTGGTGAAAAGATGGTAAAATCGCAAAAACGCAACCACGTGAGAGCTTGGTGCCGAAACACACCATCGTAACATACACGTGCAACATAACTTGTTGGGCTATAAAAACGTTGGGTTTTCATTTGCATGCCACCACAATCTTACAGCAGGTGAACAGCGAAAACATCCACGACTGACGGAAGCCCAACGCAACAACACCATCGACCGACTGCAAACAGTAGAATCATCTTCAGTTGTAGCCAGGTTTTGCGCGCAGCACCACGCACCATTACAACCGTGCAACCGTTATCAATCACAAGGGACAACACGGGACCTTCCCCGATTCGGTCCCAGATTCATACGGCTACGTCACTTACGTGAAAGAACCACTACGGCCACCTCTACAACTACGGCAATACCACGATTGCGAATAATATCCGCCCAGGCAGAGAGGAACCGTTTACACGCTGGAGGTATTCGCGCAAGACGATCAGTTTGTGATCAGGTTGCGACGTCAATGGAGTCATGGTCATAGTGTACAGCCATAACCGCCATAATGACACATTTGGTTTTGTGAAGAGTCACATTTCATGCTTTGCCGTGCGGATGGTAGACGCCATGTTTAATGACGTCGCGGGGAACGATATGCACGAAACTGCATACAGGAAGAGGACAGATTTGGTCGTGGCAGTGTGACGATGTGGGCAGAATTCTCCTACATTGATAGAACAGACTTGGTGCAAGTTCTGGAAAATGTGACGGTACAATGTCACACGGATGAGATTCTTCGGCTACATTTCCTTCCGCTTATGCAACAAGCGAAAGTAAACTTTCAACAAGATGACGCCCAACCTCCCACGGCAAGACGGAAAACAGCCCTTTTCAGGAATCACAACGTCCAGGTCCTGCCATTTCCCCCCGGATCTCAGATTTAAACCCAATCGAACATTTATGGAATGTACTGTATCAACGACTGCGAACACGTCAGCAACGACCACAGAACCTCCCACAGTTGGCACAATGCAGGCAGAGTGGGTGAACATTCCCCAGGCCACAATTCTGGGTCAGTTTTTGACTCTAATGATAACCATACAAGATATTAAGAACAGATGGCCTTCACCTTGAAAATCTACTGTTCCATGTGTGCCATATGGACCCTGGGTCAATGACAATGTGTGCCAATATTGAACAATCGATTACCATCTGTTTATTATTTATATTCCTTCTGCATTTCTATTCTCTTTTGGTAGAATATATACTGAACCGCAAAAGAAACGTCACCCCAAGTAACATTGCATGAAAAGATGTCATTTAAATATCTGGGTAATTTTTGTTTCTAATTCTAATTTTTGTTTTTGAGTCTAAAATTCAACATAACCTCGCCGGGAAAAATGAAACTTAATGATAAAAAACAATACAAATGACAATAAAACTGATCACCCAAACGCATCACGGCAACGGCCATGGTAACATGATGCACGTGTGTTCCCTGCAAATTGAAATGCACATGCGTTCCCCCATTTCTTGCCCTATAAAAATCCACCCAGATCGGATAACATTCATTCGTTATTGAATTGCTACCACATGCCAAGATTGACAAGAAAGCAGCGACACCAAGCCCTTGGACGATTGCAAGCTGGACAAAGCGCCCGGCAAGTAGCCAGTGCATTTCAAGTCCACGTAAGGACCATATGCAGGCTCCAGCAACGGTACCAGACCACCAACACTGCAGATGACCGACCACGAAGTCGAAGACCAAGGATCACGACCCGACGTAAGGATCGTCAGATTGTGCGACAGTATCTTCAAGATCGCTTTGTTACTGCTGCGGAAAATGCTCGACAGACCATGGGGACACACCAGCGACACATGAGTGCGGACACCGTGCGTCGACGATTGACGAACAGACACATCCACTGTCACAGATCACACCGAGGACCCATTCTGACACCATCGCCGGGACCGTCTTCAGTGGGCAACGTAGCACCAGCATTGGCGCCACCAGCAGTGGAGAAAAGTCCTCTTCTTGAAGAGAGCCGTTACTGTATCTCAACAGCAGTTGGCGACGCCGTGGGGAACGTTATTCGGATGCTTGTGTTGTTGAGAGACTCGTGGGGTGGTCCGAGCATCGTGGTGTGGGGTGGAAGTGGTCTTGCACAGAGGGTCGGCCTTGTGGTCTTCCAGAACATCGGTCCAGGGAGAGGCAATGGTGTCACAGCAGCTCTGTACATTGATCAAGTCTTGAGACCACACGCCAACCTCATTTGGCACGTCGCCGCAACCACGAGTTTCAGAATGATAACGCCTGTGCCAACACTGCGAGAGCAACAAGAGACTTCCTCCAGCAGAATGACATCAGAACCATGCAGTGGTCTGCCTCCAGTCCCGATTTAATTCCCATTGAGTACCTGTGGGGCGAGATCCAAAGACGGCTGAATGACGTCTGACCAAGGCTGACAACTGCAGCTGAACTGCATCAGGCGTTCCTCAGAGTGTGGGCTCAAGTGCCTATGGCCTTCATCAACCGCCTCATCCATTCCATGTATCGACGTTGCACGGCAATCATCAATGCACATGGAGGACACACGAGATACTGACTTGTGATGCCATTTTCTCAGGGACTAGTGTTGTGTTTCACTTTAAGAACATTTGACACTTTAATTTCAACCTTGATGATCAGTTTCATCTTTTTGATATGTCTCAAAGTGTTTGGACAAATAAGGTTCCTCATATATCTGTCCATGGTGACGTTTCTTTTGCGTTCAGTATATGTAATACAGTAAAGTACGGTTATAACGAACTCAAAGGGACACCTAATTTGAGTTCGTTATAACCGTAGTTCGTTATAAGCATATATACAGCATAACTACAGCAAATAGTCGGGCCAAAAAGGTAAGTTCGTTATATCCGTTAGTTCGTTATAAGCGTGTTCGTTATAACCGTAGTTTACTGTACATATAATAGATGATAAGTTGTAAACAAACGGGATACTTACATTATTACAAAAAACAATTGTTATAAATAAGTACATCAGTTTAGGTAACTAAATTTGAACATGACTATATAGATTTCATACAAAATCGAAATACAAGCATTGCCAATGCCAGCTTAACATATTTCATATTAGTGATACCTTATTTTAGAATGACTACGGTATTCACGTTACTGAATACCGTGCTTCCCTAATGACAGGTCATTAAATAGCTTTGATCATACAACTCACAATATGATTTAGACAGCTCTGCCTTGCTTTTATATTACTGTGGTAGAACGCACAAATGGCTGTGTTTGATCAAACTGTATGTTTTAGTTTGTTAATGGCTAACATTGAACTGGCATATAGTTTCTTTTCATGTGATTAAAACTGTGACTGAACTGAACTGAACTTTATTTACACTCAGGCCGATATCAGCGGCATCAGAGGTACAACATTACATGATAAATATACATATAAACATAGAATATATACAAAAACATCTTGGCCGAGCATGCATGCATATTTATACAGATTTACTGGGGTAGCAATATATGTGTAATTCAAACAAGAGGGAGGGTTACTTGATAGGTTTAAACAATGACATGATGATTTTATAGAATTTGGACAGTTTTCTCGATGTTCCTTATCGTGAATTATTGAAAAGTAAATTCGTTTTATGCATATTGTGTTTAATGTAGTAGAATATGTGTAAAAATTGTTTTCTTTCGTTTTTTTAAGATGGACAAATAAACAAATAATGGAATTCATCACCTATGTCAGATAAGTTGCAAAGCTGGCATTTCCTTTCGGTTAAAGGTATATTTCTCCATCTCCCAGTTTCAATAGGTAGATTATGATTACAAGTTCTTA